TGAGAAACGAAGGGTGCAAGAACATGTTCCAGGGAAAAGGGCCGTGAGATTCTAATTTGAGCATAGAAAAACACGCGCGGGAATTTGTTTTCGTGCACGCAGGAAACTTAAAACACCATTATATCGGTTTGTGTGACGTAGATCCCTTCTTCTTCCTTTTTTAGGCACATGCAAGACTTAATGAAGAATGTGGATAATTCTACTAGGAGGACTTACATAGGCCTATGCGATAAATTTAACATTCCATATGTTAACTTAAATAAACAATTACAATGTTAAAAAGTCAACGTTCCCAATGCCTCAATTACTAATGTAATTTCAATTGTTATTTTACACGTAGTACCAGATTTCTTTTAAGAAAAAAACTTCTTTGTACCAGATTTTTTGTATTTTCACCCCATCAGACTCCTCCTCACCCCTTTCCATCAACAAATCTATTTGAAAAAACAATTTTAGTATCATTTTCTTTTTGAGGACTTCTATGATTGGTCTGCTTTGGTGCACCAGTGGTGGAGGTTGAAGGTGGTTTAGCACTGGAGCAACAGCAATACCTTCACGCATACCTACTACATACCTCAATGCAATGCATACCTACATGCCTACATGAGTAACGAGAGTACCAAGTATTAAGTAGTATCTTTGTGATGTGACATAAAGTGTCACTAGTAGTAGTAGCTAGATCAGAACCCTGTGGATTATGTAGTGGTAGTACTGCTACTAGAATCCACAGTTACGCAAGTGTCTAAAGAACTCAGCATCTCCCAAACACCGTGACACTTGAGATATTTTTATATTTCTACTTTAATACACCACTTCCAAAYACAAGTAGTACACATTATTTTGTGCAAGCACTTGCAACGGATACGTACGTACGTACGTACGTACATACATATGCAGATGTAGTACTAGTACCAGTACTTGTACTAATACTGACCTTAGATTAATTTTCCCCCCTTACCCTACTACGTACTACTAAGATATGTACTACTAAATTGTACTTGTTGATGCATATAATAAGTAATTTTGTATTCACTCCTAGTACATGCATAAACACACCAGTATTTTCTGTTTGTTCTGTCATAGGATGAAAAAATAAATGTCGTATTCGTWYGAAGCCTGAGAAGCCAAACCTCTTCATTGCAAGCACACAATTTCTGTTTGTTGATTCCATTCTTCACCAGAGGTTCTTGCCTCTAGTTGCTACAGATCTTTGCATTAGGGGGCCAGTTGCATGTCTCCTTGGAACATGGTAGTACTACTAATGTTTGTTACTTCCATTCTTCAGAAGTGTTTGCCCCCCCCAGTTGCTACAGATTCACTGTAGCCTCAGTACTGAGTTTACTACTAGTAGTGTTGATGAGATCTTTGCATTGGTGGTGCTACTACTAGTAGTATCATTAGTACTAGTACTAGTACTAGTACTAGTACTAGTATTTGTTAGTATTTGTATTAGTACTAGTACTGTTGGTGGGGAATCCCTTTTTGTACAATTTTTAGGGGGGAGCATCAAGAATGATGGTTCAAACCAAACAAGCATTGATTTTGTACTCCTGGTATGATTGTGAGGGGGGATCCCTTTTGTTCAAATGAATCACCAGGAGGGGGGAACCCCAAAAATTGGGAGGGGGAGTATTGATGATTGTTCAAAGAACCACAGCAGCAGTGCTGGGGGGAAACCACAACAACAACTATAAAAATGCTAGTGCTGCTGGTGGCATGATCATCTCATTCCCGGTGGTGTAACTTGATTGTTATACACTATTTCTTATACTAGTACTAGTAGTAGTTCAAACTCTACTGACTCTATGACTCAAAAGATAGTTCTAGTAACCAGTTTTTACAAAACCAATCCCCAGAATCCCCTTCCTCTTTGAGAAACAATTACGGTCAAACCTGCTGTTTTCTTAGTAGTAGTCTATTTTTATGTCTCGACTTCCATGATTCGGTACGATATGACTCTTGTCAAGATTCATTCCATACCGGTACGACTCTATCTCCCAAAAATATCGTTGGGGCAACCATTGCGCGATTTTTTTCGAGGCTGTCTCGGATCCTGTTCGTACCTCAGTTTACGTAACGGTACATAACTACGCAACCACAGTACAGTGCGTACCGCACTTTCGAAACGAGGAACAATTCTGCCAAGGAGAAGGCAGGATTACCAAAGATTACACGTAACACCTTCTGCGGTTTGAGTCGCAATAGATGCAACGCAAAAAGTGAACAGAACCGACCCGATCCAATCCAATCCAATCCAATCCAAACCAAACCAATCCAAACCAAACCAACCGAAACAGCAGCGCAGCGCAAACGAACGCAACAACCCGCCCAGCAGCATGTTTTCCTCCCTTTCTACCGCCGGAGGCCTCCGCCTCGCGTCCCGGCGCATTCTCGATGCCTCGAGATCCGTCGCGCCGCGTTCTCGCGCAACGCCGCAGCTGCACCTCCCGCAGCGCCAGGCGGTTTCCACAGCGGCCTTCCGGGCGGGCGTTGCCAGGGCGAGAACCGCTGGCCACCGGTACCTCAGCAAGGACACCGCCAAAACCGCCGCGGAACCGGCCAAGGTCGGATGGTGGAAGTCCCCGGAGTTCTGGGGCTTTGCCGGATCGATCGCCGCCTGGGGCATGTCGGGCGCCGCGATCTACGACTCGGCCCTCCAGGGTCCGGAGGTCATCTCGCTGACGATGACGCCCGTCCTGATGGTCTACTCGGGACTCTTTGCCAGGTGGGCCTGGGTGGTCAAGCCCCGAAACCTGTCCCTCATGTACTGCCACGTTGCCAACGTCCTGGCCCAGACCAACCAGCTCCGCCGGGCCCTGGAGTACAAGATGGAGAACGGGGAGGAAGAACAGGTCAAGGAGATGGCACAGCAGGTCGGCATGCTGGGCGGGGTCGCCGGGGCCGCCGTTCTCGGCGGGCCGGCCGCTCGCTCCGCCCTGTCGGGGGCCAACCTCGGGATCGTTTCGWCGATCGCCGCCGCCGATGCCGGACCCTTCACCGTCCACTTTTGGTGAGTTGCACGCGCGAGACGGCTGCGGCACCTTCTGCCCCGTCCGTGCCGTTCTCTCTGTCGTTCTTGCTTCCCGCGCATTCGATCCCTTTTTGTTTCTCACACAACACGACGCACCTGTTTCGTTGCGAACGAATGCAACGCTGCGAATGAAACTCGTGTCTTGCAATTCACGAACAAACGCAATCGGCGCGAACGATCGATCGTTCGAACGAACGAACGAACGAACGACCACCACATGCCGTAACGAACAGGGCGCCCATGTCAAAGGTGTTCATCTCGGGCGCCTCCATGCTCGAGCTGGATCGCCCCACGGACAAGATTTCCTTGCCCCAGTACGCCGCACTGACGGCGACCGGATTTTTCTTTACCCGGTACGCGCTCCTGGTGACCCCCGTGAACTACACCCTCTGCGCCGTCAACATTGCCCTGTTCCTGTCGAGTTTTTGGCACTTTGGACGAAAGGTCAAGGCAGACTTTGTAGACGCCAAGCCCGACGCACAATAGGCCATCGATCGACACGCCGAAACAATGAATGTTCTAAACCAAATATCATACATAAAAGGCTGTGTCGGCACACAAACACCGAACAAAAAAATGCCGTGCCCGAGGCTATACCAGCAGAACACACTTTCCTCGTCGAGTATTAGACCACTAGATGTATTTCAAACAACCAACAACGACGTTGTCTTATCAAACATGTATTTTTGTGAGATTGCCTCCGTTTTGACGAAGGGACCCACGAAAAGAGATGCTGATTTCAAACAAACTGCGATGCCAACCATCTATTTATGTAGTCGTCGCTGCGAAAAATACGAGTAATGGACAAAAGTTCGTGACGGGGCGCCAATGTATCGACGAGTTGCATGCGCCATCACCCCCTTCGATTCGTCGTTCTCTATGGAATGTGCAAGCACCATGAATCGCCACACTTTTTGACGCTCACAAACACATCAAGGAACACGAAGATCCGAAGCTCTCCACTGCCACACTGATCGAATCACTAGTCGATTATATTTTCTTGCTGGTTTTAAGTGTCTGCTATGAACAATTTTCAACAACTGGTAGTTCTCGTCAAAGCATGACAGTCACCCAACACAAACACATATAGTTATTCGTTGTTGAATTTTGTCTTCGTTTGCGTGCAAGCGAACGCATTCGGTCGAAACCTCGACATGGTTGTTGTTTTTTGATTTGGAACAACCATGCCTATCCCCTCCCAAAACACCGCAAGCAGCCAATGCATCCAAAAAAGATTTGCGGACGGTTACATCACGACGCAGCATGGACACTCCGCGGGTGTGGTGGAATTGAACGTCGAGCAATTGGCGCATCTCCAAGACGTGGCTCCCGATGGCAGGTCGTACGGCTGTCCGGGCATTGCAGTTTGCGGGATGCCCAAACATCAGAAAATGTGCGCAAGCGGGGAGCGTTGCACAAGAAAGGCAGCGAGTGAGATGAGATTGGATGCGGTCCACCACAAAAATACAAGCGGCGCGACGGCAAAGCCACCACCGAACACCGCCACCACCCGAACGGAATCCGAGGCGATCGTGTTCCAGGGGCCCAAAAAGGACCGGAATGCGGATGGAAGGGATCACCACCACAGGAAACGAGCGTACGTACCGTGCGGCATTTTTCACAGTAGAATCGGCGGTGGCCCGGGAGGATCGGTGGCCCGTTGTCCGCGGCGGGGGTGGCCTCCACCACGAGCTCGGGATCGTACTTGGTGTCGTCGTACTTWGCCTTCTCGTCGCTCATTGTGCTTGCAAAAAAATTGGTCTTATTTAGTTCTGTTTCTCTTCGTTATGGATGTTTTCTCTTGACTCTCAAGTCAGTTTTAAAAGGAACCAGGGCCGACAATGAGGTAATGCGAACTTAATAGTGTAGTTGGAACACAACTGAAGAAATTAGTCGTGTAATCTATTGGCGAAKGATACGGAAGCCTTTCGTGTTGTGTCAAAACTGACTTCAGAAGCTGGTTGCACGKTGCCTTCTGGCTTCTGGAGCAAAAGGTTGATAGAACATAGAACAGGATAGAAACGAGTACCGGTACCGTACTTACCGTACGGTATCTTGTATCTTCATACTCATGGAGGGTACTCGTATATGGTACGTACGTATCGAGTGGTGTTACACCCCCAAAGTTTATAACCTCAAAAGGGGGAAATTTTGAAAATTGCGTGCGAGTGTTGGTCCCGGAGCGGAG